ATGCAAATTTGATATAGGAAATGTGTTTTGTAATCGACTAGACCGATCTGACCTATAAGTGGAAGGAAGTGCAATGGCTTAGCTGGTCTTGAGTCGGCTCAAAATGTGGGTATTGTTAAATAACATTTGGCTAACACTTAAAAGTTGTGACGCCTAAGCTAACTGAAATTCAACAACACATTTTTTGACTCTTTTTTGGTGTCGATTTACTGTAGTTAGTCCAGAGAATCTACAAACCTTTTTATTTTAGAATTTTACTAGATATTGTACTTATGGACTTTGGATTCATTTTATTTCCGTTAAAAGAAACATATTATTTTAGTTTATTTGAAATTTGTTCTCTTAATTGTAGACTTTTAAAACCAATATAAAAGTTATTATTTACTGTAAGTTATTTATATGTAAACATTGCTACACTTTATTTTCATATTAAGGGCTTGACATGGATTTTCATAAGAAGGGCTTAAAACTGAATAGGGTTTTGTACAAGGTCATGAAAATTAATTTAATAACATGTTTATATTTCTTAATAATTTACGAGACACTCTTTCCACTTAAGAAAATGAAAACAAAATTTATGATTCATTAATATTCGACTATCATACGTTAGATGTATAAAAAACATTAAAATGGAATACGGAGGCACGCCAAATCTGTCCAGCAAATTCGATTATTACTTTTATGATTGTCAATTTCCAGTCACCATATATGCAAATGCATTTTCTGATTGGCCACCCTCACTTTTAGCCAGTTCAGTTTTCAGTTTCTCTTTCCTTAACCTTAGTTTGGGGTTACGCCAGCCCATTAACGACACGCATTTACAGTCATTTTCAATTTCTTACCGCTGTCACTTTAATTTGGGAGCAGTGGCAGTTGCAGCCCACGCATTTTCACATAGATACACACGCACACTCTCTCCTTTTTAAAGTTGCAATTTTCACTACCCACACATTCCCTGTGAGTGCCTACATTAAAAGAAATTAATTTAAGTGGATAACAGCTGGTGAAAAATATTGATGTTAATATCTTATGGCACTTTTATGATTTGCACACACTGTTATACATTATTGTATTACGCATAAAATACTTAGTGTTTTACGAGCCAGATTAAATGAATTTACTATAAATAAAATGTACTAATTATTTAATAAATAATTTGGGCAATTTATTTATTTTAATGGAGAACAATATAGATTAAAACTCGTTTGTTTTGAATTATTGCAGACCTAATTTTTTGTGTGTTTTCTATGTTACTTCGGGCAAAGTCAAAGTATGGCGCCCCGTTACAATCTCCAACGAGCAGTCAGTCAGCTAACAAATTAGTACCTGACGCAATATTTCTGTGTATCTCTGCGCTATCAAAATCACACGCAATAAATTTAATTTGTTTTGTGGGCAGTCGTGGCAGAGGCAGTGCCTCCAAATGGCAATGGCAATGACAGGTTCAGCATTTGGCTTTTAGGCTCCGGCTCCTCCGCAGGTGCTTGTCGGAGTGGGTTGTCCAATTAATAAAAGAAAACGCAGTCATAATGTTTTGATTAACACAAATGTGACAAGAGATGCATAAAAATTAATTTCCAATCTTGTCCGCCGAGTCCACTAAATCAAAAGGGGAGTGGATGCCCGATTCCGATTTGGGTCACAGCGGCGTTAGGTGAAACCGTAGATGCGTGAGAGAGTGCTGAATTCGGATCGGATTGGTATACATTTGGATACATGGCATAGCCCCAAGGTTGTGCTGCTGTCGGTGCAGTGAAGCGACCTTCCTTTAATGGCTTGTCCAGCCAACTAGTGCAACATTTTCGATTTCCTTTTGACGCGCGGCCATAATTTGAACAGCGGGCTAGCGGCTCAGCCGCCGACCCACTGCCCAAGACTCACGCACCACCGAACCACCGAACCACTGAGCCACCGAAACCCACCGAAACCGACCCCAGCCAAACGCCCCCGGGCGGGCCGGGCCCATTACAAACCGAAAAGCAAACCACAGCCAAAAGCCAACCAAACCAGACCAGCCGGGGCAATTAATTGATGAGCAGTGCCCGGCACTTGGTCAAGAGTTGGCATGACAGCAAATTGCATTTGCCTCTGATTCTGCCTTTTTTCTGCTGATCGTGCGTGCCACTGCCATGGCCACTGGGCACTGATCTTGGAGCGGTGGCCAATCGCCGGAATGCAGCGCCAGAATCATTCACTTGGAGAAAAGGGGGAGAAAGTTACGAATTTTTAGGGTATATTTTTTCTTATTTACTATATCAATTGGTAATCTTGAATTCAGTTTTAAAATATTTTTTTAAAACTCCTTAGTGTGTAGTATTTATTGTAATAAAGTAAAATACGTTTATAACGAGCATTAACATTTTTTTTTCAAAACTTTCTGAAACAAGTGAAGGTTTAAATACATTTTTCTAAAAAAATTGATTGATTTTGATTAAGTAAAAAAGTCTTTGTCATGGTTCAATGTTTACTTAATTACTTGGTCTAGGCTGATTATGATATTTCTATATTTCAGATTTTATCAACTACCGTTTTTGAAAAATATTTCTAAGGTTATTATTTTTTAGTCTTCCATTCAGAACTCTTTATTATGGTTTTACCTTTCCCACCCTCAACTTCAACATTTTTTCTCTCAGTGCCTGGCCCAAAAAGAAAATATTGATGATATATTTATTGGTATTTATTGGCGTCGCTCCGGTCGCACTTCAAAAAGCCCGGCCTGAACAAATTGTGGAAATTTATAAGCTTCGACAACGGAAATCTGTGTCTCTGTGGGCCCCACTGCACCACCAGTAAATGGAGAGGGGGGAGGAGGAGGGACCGAGTTCGACTTCGAGACTGGGCCTCATTCATTGAGCATGCGCAGGCGCCGCAGGGCGACATCTGGCGGCCATCGCGGGCACTCTAGACCCCGGCACGAAGGACCAAAAGCTGCGGGCCAGGACTTGCAGAGCTAGCCGCATTCCTTCGCCAAGTTAGTTGCTAAATTCGTTTGGGCGTGGAAAGGCGAGTGAGTGGATAATGGGAAAATAAATGGAAAAGCGCCGGCACCGCACAATGTCACATTGTTGGCCAAGACCAAAACTATTTCGGTTCGGCAGCCAAAACATTTAACATGCCAGGCTTTTGTTATGTGTGTTATGGTCAAAGTTTGGCTATTTGCTAGGCCGCATCCCCAACCACATCCACTTTCACTGCAAATTTGTGTGTGTTTGTATCTGAAAGAAAGTGAATTCTACTGTGCTACACTTGACCTATGACAACGACAACGACAACTGAGGCGGCAGCAACAACATCCCCACTAACTGCTAACTAGCAACTGGAAACGAACGTTTGACGTTTCATTTGACTGTCATGCAATGGGGCCCGCTCACTCCCTTTCCCTAGTCTTGTCTCTCGGATCAATGCTGTCCCCAATTGATTTTTGTTTAACTTTTAACATGCAACAAGGCGGACCGAGCCGCTTACCCCTCATCCCTCTGGGCACATGGGTACGGTATGGGAAAGTGGATCGAAACTTGGAATTTACAGTCCGACCTCTATATCTTTAACCTGCAAAGCTCTAGCCATAGAATCCCTTACTCGAATTGTTCTGCCCCCTAAGGAATTTATTTCATTTGAAGTTAATGGCTTATACGGCTTACGTCAGCTAATAAATATATTAGTTCAGTTAGTCAAAGTTCGAGAAAACAACAAAGCGTTCTAAGTACACTGGAAAAATTCAGATCAAAGCATAAGCTTAAAATGCTATGATGATTTAAGCCTTAAGTTGATAAATTAATAGTTTCCATTAAACAGAGAATTTTAGAAAATTGTACGTGAATTAAATAGAGTTTCTTCTTAGTTTCTTAAATAAAAAAAAAAAACCGTTGAATTTGTATTTTGAAAGAATTCAAAAGAATGATCATTAAATATATTCTATATTTGTAACGATTTTTCCGGTATTTCTTTTTGCCTAATAGCAATTCTCATGCTGATAATAGGATAAAAGGGAGTAATATTCCTGCAAGTATCTATCATCCTTATAGATGAAAAATGTATTCAATTTTCATTATTGATTTATAATAAATAATTTCAGTAAACACAAATATATAAGACAATGTAAAAACTACATAAAAAAGATTTTTACAAATAATTACTAAGAATTTCGTACACATTATTTCTGCTTTAAATAAAAAAAATTATTAAAAACATTAACTTTGTATGCTAATAAATTAAATATAGACCTTTAAATTAAAATGTAAACCATTTTAAACTTAATATATCAGCATTTTTGCCGAATGTTGTTAGACTTAGCAGAAAGGAATACAAAATTAAATTAAATTAAAACAAGAAAGGAAAGCTAACTTCGGACGGAGCCGAAGTTGATATACCCTTGCAGAATACTCTGTAAATTATATTCTCCAAAATTATTCATATGATGCATTCTTAATACTCATAAAAAATCCAAACTTCCTAACTTTAAAAACACCAAAGTTATGGCATTTCCGATCAATCAGTTATATGGCAGCTATAGGATATAGTCGGCCGATCCCGGCCGTTCCGACATATATACTGCGTGCAAAGGAAAGAAGGCTGTGTGCAAAGTTTCAACTCTATAGCTTTAAAACTGAGAGACTAGTTTGCGTAGAAACAGACAGACGGACAGACGGACATGGCTATATCAACTCAGGAGGTGATCCTGATCAAGAATATATATACTTTATAGGGTCGGAGATGTCTCCTTCACTGCGTTGCACACTTTTGACCAAAATTATAATACCCTCTGCAAGGGTATAATAAGTTGCTTACTTGCCCCACTGTTTGCCCCCCGTTGCCCGTGGCAACCGAACGAATTGTGTTTAATGCGGCTCTTTGCATTGGCCATTGCATGTGCCGAGCCAAAGAACTTTGGCCCATTTGAAATGCGGCAGTTGTGTATCTGGCGGATACACAAGCGCACTCTGAACTCCACACGTGTCTGAGCTGAGGTCTTTTCTTTGTTTTTCCCTCTGCTATTCCAGGCTGACACGAACATCGAGGCAGGGCGAGCAGAAGCAGCTGTTTCTGGTTCAGGAGCAGGAGCGGAATTAGCCGAGATCTTGGTGCCGAATGACACGCAAATCGATGTTCGAGTTGGGGGAAATGCAGGAGGGCCGATCCCGAGCCTAGAGTCCCCCGACATGACCACCGACATGGACATGAAGGAGGCCAGGGCAGCGCCCATAGCTCGCGATGAGGAGGATCCGGAGGCGGAGGATCCGGAGGAGGACCCTCAGGAGGTGGAGCAGCTGTCCGCGAATGCTAATTATGTGTGCTGTCGATACCCGGGAACAAGCTCTGCCGCGGCAGCAACTTTGAACCGCAGCAAATCGCGGGTTCAAAAGTACCTCAAGAAGTGCAAACAGCGGCTAACGGGTCAACCCAAGATGGCAATTGGCAGCACCACCACCACAACCACCATAACCCTGATCAGGAACGAGCCAGCACCCACGGCAATCGAGGAGAGGGAATCCGAGGAGGAGCTGGCGGAGGAGGAGGAGGAGGACGAGGAGGAGAACCTGGCGGAGGGCAGTACCGGGTCCTATACGGATGCCCTGCCCATCGATTGCAGTCTGAGTCCCAGCATTGCCGAGGAACAACAGCAGGCGGTCGACGAGCTGGAGCCGCCGAAGGAGGAAGTCCCAATGGAGACAGAGGTTCGTAACTACACTGCTGAAAAATGCCCCTAACGCAATCAAAAGAGGTTTAAATCAAACTTTTTTCTTTTAATGAAATTTGTTTAATTGTTTTTTCTATCTGCCTTAAAACACATAAAAGTAAAAGTAATATAGGTAGAAAATTTTTTTCGAACTTCTTTCTTGACAATAAGGTATTTAATTTTACCTAGAACATTACAAAGCATTGGTTGTGGTTAAAAACTTATTTCATGCACCTTTAGAATAAAGAGTACATGTTTTTGGCCCTACAAGATATTTTCATATAGACTATTTTTAGAGCCAACTTAAAAGTAAAATTAATATTTATACAAGATAAGTTTAGTAAAAGAACAAGATTTTTATGTTGATTTTGAGTTTCTCCACGAATAATCTCTTTACTACCTCTTTAATAGATTTTAAAATATTCGTAAATTTTGTATCCCTGTGGAAAGTACAGAATAATAGTGCAATGAACGTTTTTTAAATAAAAGACAGTAAATTAAATTAAAGAAACTTCCGCATTGGATTTTAAGCTGTTACCTTTTGAGTTAATATTTTTTCCCTGTGCAACCAGAAAATATGTTGCCCCGAACTGACGGAACCTTCCTCAACTTCTCCTCCACAGACGAGTCCCGATGGCAGTGGAAGTGGAAGTGGTAGTGGCATCCCGATACCCCGACGACTTGCCGCCGAGGTGGACGCCACGCTGGCCCGGCTGATTGACAGCCATCTGTCGCACATTTATCCCGTCTACTGGGCACGCACTCGTGCGATTTTAATCCAGCAGGCACGTGAGCGACTCGTGTGCGGATTCGACGGCAGCTTGGCCCGCTTCGAACAGCGATTCCTATGCAAATTTGCGCAAATTGCCACGACTCTGCGCACGGCCCACCAAATTGGCGAGGTAAGTCCCATAAAGAACCCAGAAATCCGAGCAAAAGATATATCATTTACAAGGCAGTTACTCGCAGCAGGCGAAATTAGCCGCAATTTGTTCGGCTCTCCCCGAATGAAGTTCCTTAAACGCAGCTAAATAGTTTGCTTTGGTTTTGTCCGCCGGGAAGGAATTGTGGGATAACTGCGACGAGAAATCGTCGAGGAAATTGGGGAATCATCGGGGGGCGATCATCGGGCGATAAGTGTTCTTTGGAACAAATAGTTGCGAAAATCACGAGGGTGGAGCTGTTCGTGGCTTACAATTTCGCCAAAGGGTCTTGCTAATGGGTCTTTCAATAAATACTTTAATTAAAACAAACATCTAAGCAGCTAGGCATGATAAAGTTGTTGGAAAAATAGTTGGAGTTTCTTGGGACTTCAAAATCCCATTTAAAATTTACCATTCGAAAAGAAACAATCTAACTTAAATTAAACATACATTTGCATAACTAAAATACGACAATGAAGAAATCTATAATTTTGCAGAATAAACTCATATTTTAATTATTTAGTTTTTCCAATATTAAACTAAATCAGTTTGTTTAAAATTTTCATTCCCAGTGCGTATGTTTTTAAAAACCCATAAATGAAATTGAGACTTGCACTTATTGAGTAGTAATTAATTACAATGATAGCACACTGTATTGAACTTAAATCTGCTCACATTCCTCGCAAGTGTAATTAATCTTTCAAGATTATACCACCTACACTCGGGAACGGTATTTCCTTATCAACAAATCAGAGTCAACAGAAGATCCCATTTTACAATGGAATGTTTATATGTCCCCTGCTGAGCAACGAGTATCTTATGATTCAGAATAAAATTTATTAGTTTACTTAATGACTACAAAATTAACCTATTTATTATTAGAGTGTCTCTCGAGGAGTAAGCTCGTTACACTTTTTAAAAACCGAGTCTGTTTAAGTGTTTTTCTAAAAATTATTTTAATTTAATACTATTTTGGGATTGTAATTTAGCCACTAATATAACAGCAAAATTGCAACAAAAAAGTTAGTTTAAACATTTCGAGGAAAAAAGTGAAAAATTGTTTTAATGAAATTAATGAGTGTTACTTGGACATTAATTTCGACATAGAGTGCAACAGCAACTATTCAAAGTGTGTGGGAGCTTCACTGTAATTTTTTTTAGCTAAATGAAATTGATAATTAAATTAATTGAATTAACTTTACTTAGAATTCCATTTCGCCATGGAGTGTAACATTACAGCTGCTGCTTCTGCAGCCCTGGCACTTAACAGCCACTGTTAAAATAGGTATAAACTAACAGCGACTGGTGGCACGCCGAAGCTCTGTTAACTGGTCTGCAGTTCGGATTTCTGAAGTCGCAGAGTCGTGCGGTTTCAGTTAAAAATTTGAACTCGCGCCGCGCAGTCTTACGAGCGGCAAAAAGCTACTGACTACTCGACGAAAGCGACTCGAAGACGAATACATAGTAGCTCCCCAAAGTGCCCAAGTGCAACGTGCAACTAAATTCGTAGTTAAGGAGTTTCGCAGTTTTGGAGTACAGAGTGTGCCGAAAGAAATGTGCCAAGTATCGCTGAATTAACATGCAAATAAATCGAAATCGCGACAGAGTGACGCCCGAATAGTGCCTGCAAATACGTTATAAAAGTGCCTTAATGTGTGATCTTTTTACAATCTGCAAGAAATAATCGTTAAAGTGCGAATTAGCTTCGTATGCACATATGTATATAAACCACTCGCAAGTGCCTCATATATCTTTTCACCTAGAAGTTGACGCTTTATAGCCGTCACATCAGTGTAAATCAGAGGATTTTCTCGTCAAATAGCTTGAGGTAATTTCTAGTTTCACATTTTATTAGCTAGCGGCCCGCCTGAAGTTCATTATCATTTATGGCCAATAATTGTCGAGTGTCTTTTTGTGTAGTGTGTAGTGTGTTGTGTCTTGTGTAGTGTTTGTTTCCGACCCTGACCTCAGGGTTCATTAAAAATCAATTGTTTTCCACTCGCATTCGCAATTTGCATACTTATTACACACGGTCAGAGACAAAGTCATGAATAAAAAGACCAACCACGGAAGCGTCCTTCGGGTCAGCCTACGCTTTTCAGACTTGTTAGAATCGTTTGAGCCAAGTCGAGGAGAGAGGTCTTTGTGTTTTTAATTTTTTTCACCCGTTTGTTCAACCATTTCAATGACAAAGTGGTGGCAAGTGTGGGTTGTGTTTGCTAGGCCCCTTCTAAATCGAATTGTCAGAGGTTCTGGGTCCACTTATCAGCTAGCAGCTCTATCCGCAGTGTAATTTATAATCATTTTCGTAACGCATACGCACTGTGGAGCATGTGGTGTTCGGTCCGTGGGAGGCAGCTAAAAAAAAAAAAAGGCTGTAAAGTGCTCGGCGTGACCCACATAGCCCAACCACATAAACTTATTTGAATCAATCAGCTACGCGCACATTTGCCGCTGATTTGGAGTCGTAAACTTGCGGGCATCTGGCATCTGGTTGACCTGTGGCAACTCGATTCGCAGTTGCAGCTGCGTCTGCATGTTAATTGCTATTTAATTTGTGTGCTGTGCCGCCTCGAAGCTCAATGGAAGTTGCGTCGAGTTGGGATTTTTCATTCTCGTTGCGGAGGGGCACGTTCTGTAATTTAAATCGCCTTTGTGCGCAGACGCAGCAGCGTTTTCATCCGAAGAGTGGCTGGGCAGAGCAAGTACTTTATAGGGTTTTGTTTGGCTTGGTTTTGTTTTATTTTATTTGGTTTTTCCCCCGCTCCCGATCCGCAAGCGGAAATTGTGTATTAAGTGTTCTCGGGCAAAGGGAGCGAATGGGGTAAAGCCGTACAGTCTGCTAAACAGATTCCAGCTAAACTCGAAATCTCCACAGAACGCAAAAATGTATGGTTTCCTTCTGAAATTAATATGCAGATATGCCAAGGAATAAATGTATCGGAATTTTTCCAATTTAAGAGTTGTCTCCAGGGAGTGTTTGCTCTCAATATAAATTACAATTTCTTATCAACTCTTAAAAATTGTTAAAAAATGAATATTAAATGAAATTTAAATTCTGAACTGAGGTTTTCGAATATCTTTGGTTTTAAACAGGGAAAAGTTAGTTTAAACGTTAATAGTTTAAAATAAATTTTAAAATGTTACGCTGTTGAATAATTCTTCAAAAAATTACAACTTAATAAACGCAAGTTCAACTGGAGTTAACTAGGAGTTAATAAGGCAATTTACAACTAGGTGCTAATGAACTGAAAATTAAGTATCTTTAAAATGTTTTAATTAACACATAAGGGCCATAGGCTAAAAGGTTTACATCTGCAAAGTTAAACTTAAAAATTTGAAGTTAAGTTACCTAAATATTTTGATTTGGATTTTTGTCTATAAAACAAAAATATTTGAAGCCTTTTTGTTAGTATAACAAATAAGTACACACTGAGGTTCTAGGCTCAACTTTTATTGTTAATTTTTCTAAACCATTTTAGCTAGATATTTCCTATTCCCGTTTTCCTATCTCCATTAAATCTTCGCGTGTAATTGAGAATCTCTGGACACGGCATATCACTTAGCCGAACAGCAATTACGATTAGGAGAGCAGTGCCAGAGTAAAAGACTTGGAGAAAAGATGCCTGCGAAGTCGAAGTCGAAGTGAGTGGCGCAGCTTCCGAGTTGCATTTGAAACGGGCCATCAATCCAGCGGCAGATCTGTGCAATAATTTGCAGAAAAGTGCTTTGAACTGTGTTGAACACAACATGATCGGCATTTGTTAGCGATAATGAATTGAACATTTCTGAAAACATGTTTGTACATAATTTGTATGCAGGCTCTGGGGGCCGCCACTCATGGACCCAACTTTAAAGTCCGGAGACTGGAGACCGTAGACCATGGCGTCTGCCATGTGTCTGGGTGTCTGACTGTCTGGATATAGTATTTGTGTTGGTCTAACTAAGAGCATCTGGCCAAGGCATTTGCGGTTTGTTTTTGCCCGCCCAGGGAAAGACAAACGGGGAATTAGACGAGCGGGGGAAATGTGCAAAGTGTAAAGTGCATATTTATGGCTTGCATAAAATAACTTGTAAAATTCACTCACTCCGTCTTTTTGTCTCCGTGTCTTTTCACTGTGTGTTCATGTGAGTGCATTCGCCATTCGAACACGTGTTGTTTGAACGGGCTCTCTAAATATATATACATATAGGCACACGATCGCCGAGGAAGTCGCTGTTCAGGATATGGATGATATGTGACTGGACTCGCCAATGAGCAAACATTCGATTCAAATATACCCGCCATGGGTTTATTATGCAGCAAAATGTGCACAGTTTGCGTTTGCCCATTATTTTGACAGAAATATGTGACGAGGGGCAGAGATAACGTTTGATGGGTCAATGAGCTCAAGTCACCGGGAGTTAGAGAACCGATTCTTGGTACAGCCTTATTGGGTTGTAAAGCTAACTTTATTATGGGGTATCCGTACCGCATTATTGAATGGCTAAATTAGTCAGAGCAAATAAATAAGGCATGAGTTCAGTTTGCCAGGAGTTAAGGTGATATTTTTAGCATAATAGAATAATAAAATAGTATTAAAATTAACATGCTTTCACTACATTCAATTATCTGTGTATTTTTATTTTGCTGTATTCAGTATCTGAGATTGCTATAAATTACTCTTTTATTAATATTTTAATTTGCTTAAGGCTTGATTTTTCTTTACTTTAAAAGGATTTAATGCTTTGTACCTAAATTTGGTTGGTTTTATTTAATAAATTTAATCAGATAGAATTTCCATCATGTCTCATAACCCTTTAATTACTTAATGCTTTATAAAATCCCCTCTGGGTGGTTCTGTAAAGATAGTTAATCGACATGGATACATTGTATATATGAATTCCTTGGTATGTCTGGCAATCCATATTCCCCTGCTCAGGGAACAAAAAATGCAAGCAATCTGCAGCGTAATGTTAACAATTATTTAGCCGGACAA